TGTTGATGCAGGCTGTTGCACAGTTTCAGCCTGTGTCACCGATGCAGGTTCTGTTACTAAAGCAGGCTGCACATTCTCAGACTGTGTAACCGATGCAGGTTCTGTCACTAAAGCAGGTTGCACAATCTCAGACTGTGTAACCGATGCAGGTTCAGTTTGTGGCGCTGTAATTGATAAGATATCGCGTATTTCGTTTCCTATAGTCTGTCTTTCTTCTTCTGCAACCTTGTCTGACACAACCTGAGTCTGTGTCATTGTATCTCTTGTGAGAGGTTGTATAATTTCACTTGTCAAGACAGGTTCTATATCGTCAAATACAACATTATCATCCACATATAACCTCATTTGATTAGAATTAGAAGGCTCATCCACCTGTGCATTTTTTAGCTCCAAATATGGGAATCATTCCTCAATAAAAGTGACATCCCGAGAAATAAAGATTTCATGTGTCTCCAAGTCAAATAAGTTCCATCCCTTCTTTGCATAAGGGTATCCCAAAAATACACATTTTCTGCTTCTACTCGCAAATTTATCTCCATGACGTTTCTGATTGTGAGCATACGCTAAACATCCAAAAACTCGTATCTCACTATAAGCAGGAGCTTTTCCAAAGATGATTTCATAAGGACTCTTACCATTGTGTAACACAGAAGGCGTACGATTGATTAGATACGCAGCACTCAAAGCACAATAACTCCAAAGTTCTATTGGTAAATTTGCCTGAAACCTCAACGCTTGTGCGACATTCAATATATGTTGATGTTTTCGCTCTACTCTACCATTTTGTTGAGGAGTTCCCACACACAAAGTTTGATGAATTATCCCTGATGTACGAAAATACTCCTTCATACCCAAGAATTCACTACCATTATCACTTCGCACGATTTTTACATGTTTCTCAAACTGACGCTGAATGAGAGCAAAGAAATCTACCATTGTTTTCTGAACTTGTGTTTTATCAGTAAGAAGAAAAACCCACACAGCTCTAGAATAATCATCCACGATAGTTAAAAAATAAGAGGATCCACACACGCTCTGTGTTCGATATGGCCCCCACAAATCACAATGAATCATCTCAAAGCATTCTTTGCTTTTCTCTGTACTCACAGGAAATACATTCCGACACTGCTTTGCTCGGAAACAAACATCGCAATCAGAAACACTAACACTCTTTTGATCCACTTCTGGCAATCTCCTAATAACCTTTTCAGAGGCATGTCCCATCCTTTTATGCCAAAGTTCCAAAGACCCCAACTTACTGACCTTTGCCACATTCACGGTCTTCTGAATACCTTGAAGAAAATACAATCCATCTTTTCTTTCACCCACTGCAATCAGAATTTGCAAAGCAAGATCCTGTATCCGACACATTTGCTTGGAAAACAACACAATGCAATTCATTGCATCAATAATCTGTGACACAGAGATGAGATTGCACTTGAGTTCCTTAACAATAAGCACATGCGTCAAAGTTAACTTCTCCGTCAATGCCACACTTCCTTCTCTATCAGCAACCACAACATTTCCATTAGGCAGACCCACTAAACATGGTGAGACTTTATGCACATCAAACATACCACTTAACGTACCCGTCATATGGTGCGATGCACCACTATCAATAATCCACTCATCTGTATAGGTGTTATCACTCACACGATTTGCTATCTCTAATCTCGAATCAAACCATCGAACAAGCTTATGCCATTGATCTTTCTTGAGCCCTGTCACAGCCTGAGGATCAACCTGTGACGCCTCCGTGTGTAACACACGTTTTTCAGTGTGTGACACATGTTCCGTAGGTTTTCCATACTTCTCCAGCCACCAATCTGGATATCCATATACCTGATAACATGATCTCACATCATGACCATACTTCGAACAATAAGAACACTTAATTCTTCGACTCTGAAATCTCATATTTTCTAAAAAAATAGAGAAATTCCTCAGGTTTCTCCACCGAATAAAGAAATCCCAAGCCCTTATGGCTCTACAGAAATCCCGAACCTCGTCGGTCCGAGTTCACCAAAAACAAAAGAGCAAGACCTCGTCGGTTTGCTTTTTCCAATAAACCACAACTTATAAACAAGAATTTGAATCAAGAGCTAGACTAAAACGTTATGTAGCCTTAGGCTCTGATTCAAGAGCTAGACCAAAATTTTATGTAGTCTTAGGCTCTGATACTATGTCAAAGTAATTTGCGGAAGTAATTTATTCATCAGCCTAAAGGCACATATATATACAAGTACATTGGTCAACCTTAAGTTAGAAATTAGCAATGTGGGACAAATTACTCTAATAATTCTAATAACTAACTATACAATACCCAATAAGCCTAATATCTCTTAATATTTAATAATTTTAAATTTCGTTGTTATCTTTTTTGATAGAATATTGGTTTTTTAAGTATTGTTTTGTCTTATTGGAAGTTAATAACTTAATATTATATTTATAACTGGGATTAATTCTGATTGAAAACATTTTAAATTGTTTTTTTTTTCTTGCATTGGAATTGGAATATAGCGAAGACGTGAAGATGGGACAGTGAACTAAGCACGTACGTATGCACTTAAAGAAAAGTCAGATAAGACAGTTTATCATTGGTAACTAAATTTAGATACGGTTAAGATCGTATGAGTAAACATCGTGCACTTATAGCATGATTAATACTAAAACCTCTGATGGAATTTTTAATTTATTTTTTATTATTAAATTTGGGATAAAAAAAAAAAAAAGAGAGAAATATTGTTCGGAAAAAAAGAGAAGAAAAATTTTCTAGCTAATACAAGCGTGACAGATGAAGTTAAAAATTAGTTTTTAAATATCTCGAATAAGAACCGGTTCTTAGCATAATTATTATTTTATCTTTAATTTAATTAAAAAACATCTAAACAATTCTTTTAAAAATCTAGGTTAATGATAATTTTAAAGTCAGATAAGATGATTTAGAAAAGATGATTTGGTTTTGTACGAAGTAAAAAAACAGTTTGAATAGTAAACCAAGAGCAAATGCAACTCTAATTAAACTGTTTATCAATTGTTTAATCCAATCTGCTCGTTTTAACAGTCCATTTTAACTGTATTTTGTTTAATTGAACAACCAAACAACTGGTTCAATTCCATCACCTACAACTAAGACTACCAATTAGTCTCCAGATATTTAATCTAAAAAGTAATACTTTCCCGTGAAAATTATGAATATGTTTGCAAGTCGAACCATATTGATGTTACTACGTTCTTTTACCGAGAAGCAGTCGTGTATTAACGTCGAACATGTATCTAAAAAAAGCAATTTCATTGGCATTTGAATATGTGATACTTTAATATTTCAGGTACAAATACGCATTATTAGTTGCAGAGTTTTTTATGAGCATGTATTACACAAAGAATACAGCGTTTTTTTTTCTCTTACGTATGAATTTTGAAATTTACATAAAGAAGATTCATACGAAAGAAAAATAAATTAAACACAAAGGCATGATAAATCCTAAAATGCGATAACATTTGAATATTCAAAACGAGACTTTTGGATTTTGTGCCCAAAAAATATCAGACTTTTTATAGTTATTAATCGGCATTAATCCCAAAAGATAACAACGAAATTTCTTACGGTCATAAATGCTTCTACATACAGACACAAAAAGATCGGTATGATCTTCTGTTATTGTCATTGACTAATTTCTTATATATCTAAATAAAAATTTATATTTAAAAACAGCTCTCACATCATCTCATGGGTACTTTGATAAAAATATAATAAATAAATAAAAATTCCACCAAACCCAATCTTTGCAAGCAAATGTTGTGTTGTGATTCGTACGCACTTTCATCAACTTTTTCCAATAATAATAAAAAAAAAAAAGCTAAATCCTAAAAAAAAAAATCAATCCGCAGAGATTATTTCGTATGTTCTGTCTGTTATTACGCGTTTAGTTTTTATCAAATCAAAACCAACACTTTGACGATTCTTATTCTTCGTCTTCTTCTTTAATCACCGGGTCAATCGACTCGTTTACTTTTCTTCGGTCTTCTCTCCAAAAGAGTATGATATCTTTGATATTTCCGCAGCAACAATAATGGTAGAGAGATGCAGAAGAAGACAAATTACTGCCGTTTGATAAATTCTCTGTCTGATTAAATACCCCCAAGTCGAGAAGCTTTTTGGGTTCGAGAAGCAACGAGGTTTCGAGAAGCAAAATCAGTTTTTTTTGTTTTGTCCTTCTTTTATCTGATTAGGTGAGATTTAATGCGAAAAGGGATCTAGATTCGTTGAATTTCCTAGGAGGGTTTTGGGTTTTGGAAGATTCTTCTTTGATTGGCTTCATTTACGAAACAGTGGTGGATTTAAGAGATTTCTCTCTCACTTTGTTGAAGCTCGAAGCTATTTTTTTGGGAGGGAATTATGGGTTTTGATTTGAAACAGAGCTTTTATCTTCAGCTTCTAGATTTATCCAGTTTTGATCTAAACTAGTGATAATACTTAAGTCATCGAACTGAAAGTTTCAATCTTTGGTTCTTGAAGCTTTGTAGTTGATTAAAAAGGAGTTTCTACTTCTGTTTTATTGAGTGTGATTGGGAGCTTTTGTAGTTTATCTATAAGTGTTTTTAGAGATGGATGAGAGTAATCATGGAGGTTCATCAAGCTCACTCCCACCTTTCCTCACCAAAACATATGAGATGGTTGACGATTCTTCATCGGATTCAATTGTCTCGTGGAGCCAGAGCAACAAGAGTTTCATCGTTTGGAATCCGCCAGAGTTTTCCAGAGGCCTTCTTCCCAGATTCTTCAAGCACAACAACTTCTCAAGCTTTATCCGCCAGCTTAACACATATGTAAGTCTTAGTTATGCTCTGTTTTGTTTTTGCTTCTCTTCTTAGTTAGTCTTAGTTTAGTTAAAACTTGGGATATTTCTTTTTGTAGGGGTTTAGAAAAGCTGATCCTGAGCAATGGGAGTTTGCAAATGAGGATTTTGTGAGAGGTGAACCTCATCTAATGAAGAACATTCATAGACGCAAACCTGTTCACAGCCACTCTTTACCGAATCTGCAAGCTCAGCAGAATCCGTTGACTGATTCAGAACGACAGAGAATGAATAACCAAATCGAGAGACTGACTAAGGAGAAAGAAGGATTGCTTGAGGAGTTGCATAAACAAGAGGAGGAACGAGAGGTGTTTGAGCAACAAGTGAAGAAGCTAAAAGATCAGTTACAACACATGGAGAAGCGTCAGAAAACAATGGTTTCGTTTGTCTCTCAGGTGTTGGAAAAACCAGGTCTTGCTTTGAACCTATCTCCGAGTCTCCCTGAAACAAACGAGAGGAAAAGAAGGTTCCCTAGGCTCGGGTTTGAGCCGATGTTGGAAGAGAACCAAACGTGTGTTGTTGCGAGAGAGGAAGGTTCCACAAGCCCTTCTTCACACACGACAGAACATCAGGTGGAACAGCTAGAGTCATCGATAGCGATTTGGGAGAATCTGGTGTCGGAATCTTGTGAGAGTATGGCTCAATCAACAAGAAGCATGATGACACTTGATGTGGATGAATCATCTACTTGTCCAGAGAGCCCTCCTCTTTCTTGCATACAGCTGAGTATCGATACACGTCCCAAATGTCCTCCTTCTCCAAGGATCATCGACATGAACTCCGAGCCCGATGTTTCAAAAGAACAGAGCACTGTTGCTCCTGCTCCTCCTCCTCCAGCAGCAGGAGTGAACGATGTCTTCTGGCAGCAGTTTTTGACGGAGAATCCTGGCTCAGCCGAGCAACGGGAAGTTCAATTAGAGAGAAAAGACGATAAAGCTGAGGATCGAAGTGAGAAATGTTGGTGGAACTCGAGGAATGTAAATACAATTACAGAACAGCTTGAACATCTGACTTCTTGAGAGAGAGAGAAGTTTATATGTCAAGTTACTTTAGATATGTTTTTTGTTTTAGTTTCTTGTAAAATAGGTTTTCTTTTTGCAGTTTCATTGTATTCTGTTATATGTATTTGGGTCTGGTTCTACTTTTCATCATTCACATGTATGTTCTCTCAGTTCATTATAGCAGACTACT